CAGATAATTCTGACCTTTCGGATTTCTATTTGCGATTTACGATATATTCAATTCACAATTTTCGTACCCTTCGTCGCTTAACGTACATTGAAAACTTAACTCACGCAGACGAAGATATGAGCTTAATATGCATCAATGCATATCTCATACACACCGATGTTGTATAGAGGTTGAATAGGTTTCAAAGATAATTGTTGTAATTAATACCACAAGATGGTTTTCATGAATCTCTTTTCATTGATAATTTTCGTTTTGCATTTACATTTATATTATCACAGAATAAACAATATACAATAACAATTAATATTATTTAATTATTTAAATGTACATTAGAAAAATATTTTTATTCCAATTTTAGTCTCTCTAGATCAATGTATTGAAAATAATTTTGAAATAAGTCAGCATTTTTACTTTCCTATCTGTATACAGATATAAGGAAAGTATAGGAATCATGATTTTTTTCGACCTCGAATTTTCGATGGATTTTTACGTTTTGAGGTCCCCTGAATCCGTTTTGACTATTTTCGCGATGATGTGGTGTGTGTGTGTGTGTGTGTGTGTGTGTGTGTGTGTGTGTGTGTGTGTGTGTGTGTGTGTGTGTGTGTGTGTGTGTGTGTGTGTGTATGTGTGTGTGTGTGTGTGTGTGTGTGTGTGTGTGTGTGTGTGTGTGTGTGTGTGTGTGTGTGTGTGTGTGTGTGTGTGTGTGTCTGTGTGTCGCATAACTCATGAACCGATACACGGAAAAACACCAAATTTTAAACTTAAGCCATGTTTTAGCATCCAATGAGCTGATTAGATTTTGGGCAGAGTCGGAACATCTGGGGGGGTACTTTATAGGTGGTCATTTCTATATTTTATGGAATATATCTGTTATTTACGTTTTGGGAAGAAAATTCTGTAAATAAAAGTTACTTCTTAAATTATTATCTGTAATTTTTGTTTTATACATAATTTCTCTAAATGGATCGTATTCGAGATATTTAAGAAAATGTGTAAATTTCTAAATTTGAAGCAAACTCAAAAACGGATAAAGAAAAAAAACATTAAATTTTAAACTTAAGTTTTATTTCGGCCTGACGTGAAATGATTAGATTTTGGACAAAGTCGGAACATCTGGGGGGTACTTTATGGGGGGTCGTTTTTATATTTTATGGAATATATCTGTTATTTATGTTTGGAGAAAAAATTGTTTAAATAAAAGTTATTTCTAATATTATTATCTATAATTTCTGCCTTATGTCAAAATTTCCTGAAATGGTCCGTATTCGAGAAATTTGACAAAATGTGCAAAATTCTGATTTTTATGAAAATTGTTGAACCAAATGTTGTTTGCGATATCGATCTCAATAATTTTTGTTTATACATGATTTTTCTAAAATGGACCGTAATGGAAAAATTGTAGGAAAAGTGCTAAATTTAAATTTTTCAGTATTTTCATTTGCAATGAATATCTATGAAAAATGTTTCGAGGTAGATGTATGTGGAAAATTTTTATATTTATTTTATCCCCTAAACATTTATGGAGATGCTGCAATAGGTTGTACAAAATAACCGGAAAAAGCCTGTAATAACTAGATAGGAAAGTCATGTGTTGGACACATCAGATTTTTATTATTATAATTTACACGTCGAACTAGATACGAAATTGAAATGTGTTTATTATTAATTGCATATGAAATTAAATATTTTAATTCAATAAATAATTAATTTCATATACAGGATGTTAATTTAATTGGTGAATATAAAGAAAAATGGTCAAATCTGAACAAAGGTATTTAAAGATTTAAGAACGAGCCTAAAAAAGCGCTTGGCCAAAATTAGCACATTGTACTGCTGTCTTTGTGTACAGAACAAAGATGTCTGGGTTCGAGTCCCAGGGACAAAAGGCTTTTTTCAAATCTCCAAGTATTTGTTTTTACCTTTACTCTCACTTGGGTCCTGGGACATAACGGGGTACAGGGTAACGAGATTGCAGATAGTCTTGCAAGAAAAGGGACTCTAACACCTTTTGTAGGATCTGAGCCGTTCTGCGGTATCAGCAGTAACATAATATTAGGAGAGATTAAAAAAGAATTGGGCAGTAGAAGAGCCGATAATTGGAACAATCTCTTCGGGCTGAGACAGGCCAAGATACTTCTGGGTGAATATAACCAGGAAAGATCGGAAGCATGCATCTGCCTGAGCAAGAACAGGCTACGTATTGTAACAAGGATCCTTACATCCTTACTGGGCATTGCCGACTAAAAGGACACCTAAGTAAACTGAGAGTAGTAGAGGATAGTGAGTGCAGATTTTGTGAGGAGGAGGAGGACGAAACCTTAAGTGAATGTGTAGTACTCCAGAATCCAAGGGCACTATATCTAGGAGGATATCAAATAGAAGAGGGAGATTTACCTAACTTAAAACCACTTCAAATCCTACACTTCCTTGAGAAAATAGGAATGAATGGGTCGTTATAGGTATTGAGACATTTCCTTGGTGCATTGGCGACAGAAGGAAGCACAATAGTTCTTTTAGGTCGCAGTGTATTAACACCCCATTCCCAACATAACATAACATTGTTTTAAACAGTAACACTGTCACAAAATTGATATATTAAACATGAAGGACACTTGCAAAATTTATATTTCGTAAATTTTAAATATAAATTAATGGGGAAAAGAATAAAACATTTATTAATGGAATCACATCATTAATTTTTAAATATTCATTCTCTCTTCTATGATAATTGCTTCAGCAACAAAATAAAAAAAAGATATGTCATTAGTTTTAAAAAATTATGGAAATTATGAAATTGTTCTGTAGATAATAATGACATAGGAAAACCTATCACCGTCTTACAATATAGTTTTATTTTTTATTTGTCAATTTTAGGTTTCAATTAGGTACAAGGACAAGTAAATAACAGAACATTATTAAATGACCCACAAGAATTTTATGTTTGATAAGAAAGTTACACTTGCAACTTTTTAAATTAATGATGGTATTGATAATGTACAGAATATTTATTGGTAAAATATTGAAATGGAAAACGATAATTTTTCACCGAAGATACGCATAATTTGAAACTTTGAGACAGTTGGTCCCATAACCAAATTGAAATATTTTTGATTTTCACAAAATTAGAAAAGGAAATTGAAAGAAAATAATATTTAAATTAATTTATTATGAAACTGCTGTTTTAATGAAATAAATTTAAAAAAACAAAACATGATTTAAATTATGAGAGCTTTGGTTTCTTGCAACCGGATGCTCCAGGATTGTCAGAAACAATAGTTATCTCAATATAATTTTTTCCTATATGGTGCTTAGAATCCAATACTTTGGGAACAAAACTTATCCATTCGAGTAGTACACTGGATGCTTTTATTTGATTTTCCGTTTTTCAATAAATATTTAATTTAAATTCACCCAGATATTTTTTGTTTTCACGAATCAGTGAATTACACTCGTTGAGTTCAATTCATAGTTTGTGTGAAGATAGTCTAATTTATTTATAGTTTATTTATTTAAAACACACTATTTAGAATTTATTTCAGACGTACTATTTAATTTATATAATACTTAGACACTAATTAACATTTCTAATTTATTTATTACACTTTAACTTTTCATTCCAATACTCTGAACTAAACTAAACTGTGCGCCAATGAGTCGGCTATTTATACCAAGCCAATTTTTTGCTCGTCGGTTCTGGGCGCTCCCTAAAATTCTATCTCTATGGCTCAACGGCAGTTTCTCGAAGCGTCAGCGGCATACCTAGAAGATTTCGTCGTTTCTTGAATATTCCAGACGCGGTCCGATTGTTTTTACATGTCAGCGTTGCTTCGATCATGAATGGAGTGGCAGACTTCCAAGGTCGCGCGTACACAAGGTTGGATTAGGAATTTCATAACATTTGCAATACTTTTCTAACTTTGTTGATTTTTTAAGGTTGCGGACCTTGGTCGAGGTCTCAAACTTAACAGATTGTTGACAAAAATAATAATAAAATTTGCAACCAATTTTCAAAACTTTTGCATTTTTTGACAAAATTAGAGAAAAATAAACAAGTATTTTGCTATAATATTGCCATGTAAAATGGAAGGTTGCAAATTATAATAGCTGTTCCAAAAACTTGTGTGAGTTATGCAATCAGTTAGCAGCACTTTTAGATTTTTTATCCATGATATAAACAAAAACGCTATTTTACAAAAAAAGTTACAAATCTGATATAATATTGAAAATAATACGATATGAATATTTTTCTTCAAGTTTACAGCACTTCTGCAATTATAAACAAAGTGCCACTTTGCAGTAAATTAACTAGTTCTGGACCTTGGAAATGGTTGCTTATTTAAACTATCCGATTATTATTCATTACTTAGTTTGAAAACTTTTGTAATTAACGTGAAACTTTCAAAATGTCTTTATTAACTGACCTATATGGATTAGCTATACATACTATTGGTATGACCAATTCGTATCTTTCTAATCGATGTCAATATGTACGTATAATTACAAAGGAAGTACCGCTGGGTTCAATTCTGGGACCATTACCGTTTGTATGGAATATAATGCCTATGGATAAACAAGAAAATAATTATCAAATACATTAATTTGATGATAACACACAAATATTTAAAACGTTTAAAAAATATGAAGTGCATCAGGTTTGTATAAATAATTAAATATTAATACAACCTTAGCAAATGTCCATGACTTTTTATGTAAGCATTTTGGAATAATAGAGATATTGTAAACACTTTTAATACTGTGATTATTGGAAACAGAATTAAGCCTAATGATACTCTCACATAATAAAACAAATAGTTATTTATTTAAACCCTTTTAGAATAATCAAAAATATTTAAAGAGGGATAAAAAGAGAACTAAATAAATATTAAAAATGTTTACAATAAAATTAAAGAATTAGTCACATATTTATTAGTAGAATAAAGTATATATTTTTAAAATACATATCAAATTAATTAATATAGATATTTTTCTAGAAGCAATATCAAATTATTTATTGTTTAAATAGTATAGGTATGTACTTATAGATATATTTTAAAGTACACAATTTAAATATTTACACCTATATATATATAATTCAACATCATTATATTGCATATTAGTAAAACTCAAAATGATTTCCTTAATAAATATTGTATGTATTTTTAGCGTGTTTAGTTTGGCTTTAGGTAAGTTTTACCTTCTTTAAATATAATTTAAAATGTATTTTTAAAAGTAGTTATGGTATATATCTTGGTACACATTAAAAAATAGATTTTTTTAGTAAATCTAATATTTGGCTGTCGTTTGGGTATAGATCATTTTTGTTTATGTATCAGGCATCCTTATCCTTTTAATTTATCCGATTTCATTTCCTATTTTGCAGGGTATAATCGACTATTGTTTAGCAGATAAAAAAAGGTTGATATTAGCTCATTATTTAACCCTCTAAAATTCCAAAGCGTTATTATTGTCTAAATAACGCTTTGGAATTTTTTATCCTATTTTCTAAAACTATATTAATCATGTAGCCACTAATAATCTTTTGAAGTAATCTAGAAAAGATTTCACAGAAGTGGGAAAAGAATTAACTTTAACTTCATAAAAAAGCTCTACATCATTTTATTCAAAATTTATTTTATTTTGCTTTTTAATTTCGACAATTTTACAGTCCACTTTTCAGCTTGCTTATTTTTCTTGAATATGTCCACTTTCATTTTTAAACAAACCGTAACGAGGGTGTTTTCTGGAGCTCGATTCTCGAATTCGGCAGAAATTTTTCCATGGGAAACGATTCAACTGCTTATATGTCTATGGTGCTATTCTCACACTTCCCGGAATAGACATTTTAATGAAAACGATAGTTTTACGTGTGCATTTCAAGACGACTAGTAACTTTAAAAATATTTTAAGTTTTTCTGTTGGCATTATTCGTATTTGTTGTGGTTTGTAGGATACCGATTATCGAGTATGTGCCGAGCAATCGCTAGCATGACCGAGGAACAAATGAAGATATTCGGTTGTGTATAATTAAAACTTGTTAAATTATTTTTAGTTTTTTTAAACTGTTAAAAAAAGAGAGTACCTTCTGAACGAAATATCAACGAAAGTATCAAGAAACTAAGTCTAATTGCTTCGTTGGCGGAATTAATTAATGAAATGTTCGAAAGGATCTGCTTCTTTATTCAATTCAATACAAAATTCTTTATTTGTATTATTTGTCAGTAACTGAGCAGTTTCCACAATTTCTGTTTTATCAGTTCATACCGTTTCTTAGTGATGAAAACAACGCAAATAATATAACAAAAGTAAAAATAATATCCCTACATAAATAAAATTATACCAAACAACTTAAATAATAAGCACAAACAAAAATCTATAAATACGCCAAATATTTTTCCAATTTTACCTAAGATCCAAGATATCCAAAAATCTTTGATTATGTATTTGTCTTTTGTCTAATTTTAAAACTTAATGTGCAAACTCTAGGACAAGTCCCATTAAAAAAACCTTTTCCAATGCTAGTAAGCAAAATATCGCCTGGTAAGAATATAGAGATGAAACTTGTAAAATAAACATTTTCAGAAAATTTTTACGTTTTTTATTTTTTTTTTTTTTTTTTTCATAATCTGGTTTTAGTTATTTAAATTAACTAGTATAAGTGGTTTTTGGATAAATAAATAAATAGAAGTATTTATTTCTGAATTTTTTTTCTGAATTGTCATTATTACACCAAATTTTAATCGTTTATTTCAATCACGGAGTAATTACAGATTCGCCACTATTGATATAATTTTTTGATGTAATCCCAAAGACGACAAATCTAAACACTGACCTTCGTCTCTAATACATTATTTTTACCCTAAAGATATGGGCTGCGCTCTAGGAATAAGCAAGTGAAATAACCAAAGAAGTAAAGAGAGTAGAATGATAATGTACCGTTCAGCTTTGTTTTTGTTTATGTTGTGACTGTTGTATGCCATTTTGTCGTCGGTTCTTTATTGGCTTGCTTATATTTGTGATTTTTTGTGCTTTGGTTTCGATTTAGTATTAAATTATATCTTAATTATTTTCCGATGCACTATTTTATAGTTGTTTCACAAAATATTCTTAAACCGTTCCTAAATCTTGTTTATTAAATGTACACAACGTAATTGTAGACAGTATCCAAACTTTTTATTGCCAGTTATCATTCTACTCCTCTCCACTTCATTGAAAATAATTTTACGTCAATTTTTTACATAAAAGAAGGCAGATTTAGATGTAAATGGGGGGGGGGGTCATCAAATGACTCTAATTATTTTAGTCTATTAATTAGTCTTAACTCTACTCTGTCTACATTAAATTATGTAAAATATATATTAGAATCGCAATCGACACGGAGTAATTAATTAAAATGTTATGGAAGTTTTACAGCACAGGCGGCTCTGTGATTTTAAACAATAGGATTTAGTTTGCAGTGATAGGGAGGAAGATGCACAACATCAATACCATGTGTTTTTGCAAGTTCATCCACTACATAACCTACTTATTTTTTTTTATAATTTGGTGTCATCGGCATCGTGTTCTGTGTAGGCTTTGTTACTGTTTCCTAGCGCCACTTTTAGGAACAGTACTGTTATTTAGATACCAAAAGTGAATGGTCGAGTGGAGAATCCTACCAAGGCATCAGAATTAATTTTAAATAAATAAATTAAATAAAAAAATCCCCGACCAACGGTGGGATTCAAACCTGGGACCCTTGGATCCACAGGTAGAGACTCTACCACTGAGCTTCCCACCTCTATCGTACTTATTTAATTTCACAATTTCTAGTAGTTTTATTTATATTGATTTTTCTGGAAAGTTGATGTTTCTGTCTGTTAGCCACTTAATGATATCATCTTTCTTCCATAAAGTATTTGTCACATGTCCAATTAGAATGGTAGAATGTTAACTAGCGTTATCCATTACTATAACTGAACCCTTTGGTAAATGATCTATCACCTGCTGAAGATATTCTTCAAAAACATCAGCGTTCATAACTTCATGATAGTTTTCAGTTTTTTAGATTGAAATATTAAAGAACCATGTTTTGAAAACCCGTCATCACTTCCAATATGAGTTATAATTAGCCCCTTTACCTGAAGAAACCTTCAATCCTCTAGATAATTCTTCCAAAAAAGCCTGTGGTGAAGATTGAATGTTTGTGTCCTGCCACATTTTGCTAACTGTGTAACCTTTGTTCACCTAGGTTTCTTACAAATAAAATATTTTTTTGCCTTCTGCACGTACCTAATTTAAAAATCTGATGTGTCCAACACATGACTTTCCTATCTAGTTATTACAGGCTTTTTCCGGTTATTTTGTACAACCTATTGCAGCATCTCTATAAATGTTTAGAGGATAAACTAAATATATACATTGTCCACATACATCTACCGCGAAACATTTTTCTATAGATATTCATTGAAAATGAAAATACTGAAAAATTTAAATTTAGCACTTTTCCTACAATTTTTCCATTACGGTCCATTTAAAAAAAATCATGTATGAACAAATATTATAGAGATCGATATCGCAAACAACTTTTATTTCAACAATTTTCATAAAAATCAGAATTTTGCACATTTTGTCAAATTTCTCGAATACGGACCATTTCAGGAAATTTTTACATAAGGCAAAAATTATAGCTAATAATATTAGAAGTAACTTTTATTTGAACAATTTTCTTCTCCAAACATAAATAACAGATATATTCCATAAAATATATAAACGGCCTCCCATAAAGTACCCCCCCAGATGTTCCGACTTTGTCCAAAATCTAATCATTTCACGTCAGGCCGAAATAAAACTTAAGTTTAAAATTTATTGATTTTTTCTTTATCCGTTTTTGAGTTTTCTTCAAAATTCGAAATTTACACATTTTCTCAAATATCTCGAATACGGTCCATTTTAGAGAAATTATGTAGAGAATAAAGATTATAGAGAATTATATTACAAACAACTTTTATTTGAACAATTTTTATAAAAAAATATTTTTTTTACATTTTGTCAAATTTCTCGAATACGGACCATTTTAGGAAAATTTTGTATAGAACAAAAATTATAGATAATAATATTAGAAGTAACTTTTATTTAAAGAATTTTCTTCTCCAAACGTAAATAACAGATATATTCCATAAAATATAAAAATGACCACCTATAAAGTACCCCCCCAAATGTTCCGACTCTGCCCAAAATCTAATCAGCTCATTAGACGCTGAAACAAAGCTTAAGTTTAAAATTTGGTGTTTTTCTGTGTATCGGTTCATGAGTTATGCGTTATACAGACACACACACAGACACACACACACACAGACACACACACACACACACACACACACACAGACATCATCGCGAAAATAGTCAAAACGGATTCAGGGGACCTCAAAACGTAAAAATCCGTCGAAAACTCGAGGTCGAAAAAAATCATGATTCCTATACTTTCCTTATATCTGTATACAGATAGGAAAGTAAAAATGATTCTAAGGTATCTCCGTCTCCAAAAATTTCATCAGAATCAATAAGTGCTACTTTCCTGCCCTGTTTATCCCACTTGAACTTCAAATCTATTAGAGTTTCCTGTAGCTTTGACTGTTCCGTTTTAGGAAAATACGGATCACTATTGATTACGTTCAAAACCTTGGTAAGTGTTAGTAGTATCACTTTTTTTAAATAAAATTCGTAAACTTTTCTTCCTATTCCGCTTTTAACTTGTTCAGTGAATATCTGTATATATCGTTTATTTGCTCACATTCATCATATTTCTTGTCTTTTCATCAGTATCGTCAATAAAAAACGAAGGATTTTCTATTCTTAGGCAATTATGAACATTGCTTGCAAAAATTTTCTCGTTAGTTGACAACGCACACTTTTTATACGTTTCACAGGTGCAAACTTTGAACTTGAACCACACTGCATTTTTCAATACTACAGTCACTATTATCCGAAAATAACCACAACTTCTTACTGTGATAGATAGTATAGAAGGCTAATCAAAGAGGGTAGATAATGTTGGGAACTGATCAAGATACTAACTGCAACTGCCTATCGTATCTTCATACCAAATCCCAGGTAGGTAACCATCTTATAATCCCACCCCCTTGTTCTCATTTTGATTTTCCATGGCATTAGTATTCTCCAAGAAGATGATAAAATAACGATTAAT